AAAAAAAAAAAAGAAAAAATTAATCTCAGAAACCACTGTATCATTTTCTTGGAAAATAATCAAGCCAAGATTTTCAACCATATAGTGGTTCATGGTAAAACTTTCATATCTATTTAAAATAAAAACCAGAGAGCTCAGGTTAATTGTACTATTTATTTGAAATTCTAAGAATCTTTAAATAATTTTCTACAGGTCATATTTTTGTTGCATTTTAAAATCATTTACAGTTTGCTTTCATACATATTCTTTCTCACTTGATCCTCACAACTGCCCTGGGAAGCAGGCTGGAGGGAGAGTTGGGGCCTGTTAGGAAACAAATTTACACAATGCATAAAGAAAGATGGCTGGGCACACGGTGGCTCACACCTGTAATCCCAGCACTTTGGAAGGCCGAGGTGGGCAGATCACCTGAGGTCAGGAGTTTGAAACCAGCCTGGCCAACATGGCGAAACCCCATCTCTGCTAAAAATACACAAATTAGCTGGGTGTGGTGACAGGTGCCTATAATCCCAGCTACTCCAGAGACTAGGGCAGAAGAATCGCTTGAACCTAGGAGGTGGAGGTTGCAGTGAGCTGAGATAGTGGCACTGCAAAGCTCACTGTGAGCTGGGGTGAGGAGGGGAGCCTTAGAGAATGATGAATGTAATATCTATGTCTATATTCCCAGCTCAACTACAAAGCCTGAAACTCATTAGGTAGTTGAGAAATAGCTGCTGAATTATTGCCTAGGGGTGCTCAGCTGAAGAAGCAGGGTTGGGACTAACAGTCAGGCTTCCTGACTCCGAGCCCAATACTTTTCCAAACACAGCATCTATTTTTCTCTGACAGAAAGTATAGTACGTAAGTTGTACATCATGCTAACTCATGTCAATCCAATCCAATCATGACTGAGTATCAGTAGCTTTTGTGACAATCTTAGTAAGCTATCTAATGACTAGAAAGTTGAACCTCAGAGTTCCCATTATTATGTCATATGCTATTTCTATTTTGAAATAAATATCCTCCCAAATGAAACTATACCCATCAAAATGACAGAAATGAAAAATAGATACAAGAAAGCAAAGGATTAATTTAGTATCTCTTTTACTTTAAAATGATCATAACCACCAAACCACTCTATTTTTAGAAAAATACATTCTTTCTGAAGTATTAGGAACCATGATAACTATTGATGCTTAACTTTAAGTCCTAAATGACCAGTATGTGTATTAGATAACTGGACACAAAGCAAGGTCAGAAGGGTGACTGGGTATGGCAGAAAGGGCAGTACTCCAGCAACTGCGATGGATAAATGACAAAGAGTTCAGATAATGGATTCTGATACAACCATTAAAATAATACTTCAGCCAGACATGTAGATGCTTCCACTTTATGTTTTTTTGAGACAGGATCTCACTCTGTCACCCTGGCTGGAGTGCAGTGGCATTGTGATCTCGGCTCACTGCAGCCTCGACTTCCTGGGCTCAAGCAATCCTCCCACCTTAGCCTCCTGAGTAGCTGGAATTTCAGAAGAAATCTGAATAACTGTATTTTCAGAAGACACAGGGTTTTGCCATGTTGCCCAGTCTGGTCTTGAATTCCTGAGCTCAAATGATCCACCTGCCTTGGCCTCCCAAAGTGCTGGGATTACCAGTGTGAGCCACCGCCTCTACTTTATATTTTCTTGTAGAAATAGGCTGTATTACTGATTCCCCACCCACACCCACTTTTTGGATATCCTGCCCCTCCTCGAATCTTTGGAAAGGGCAGCACTACAAATCCAGGGACAACTGGGGAACTCCATCCCCACTACTAGGCAGATCAGATTCTCTATCCTCCTAATTGAAAATGACACAGAGTGTTGGATAGATTTTTAGCAGAGGAGCATCTGTATGGAAAGGTCCAGTAACACTGGGACCAGGCGTACTACCAGGGTTAAGTCAAAGCCTCAGAGGCTGGACAAGCCGGGAGCACATGCCAACGTCCATCTGCAGAGTGAAGCACAAACATGGAGCCGAAGTCCAGAGTGATGGCATGCGGGAGAGAAAAACAACCTCCCAGCACAGTCCTTCCATGGTGTGGTCATATTTTGAGTTCTGTACTTAGATGTCTGTGAGATTGCCTACTGTATTCTTAATATAAATCCCTCTTAACCAGCCTAGAATAGGTAAGATAAACGTACTGGCTTGACATGGCTGGAGTGCAGTGGCATGATTACAGCTCACTGCAGTCTCAACTTCCTTGGCTCAGGTGATCCTCCCACCTCAGCCTCCCGAGTAGCTGGACTAAAGGCATGAGTCACCATGCCCAGCTAACTTTTGTATTTTCAATACAAACTGGGTTTTGCCATGTTGCCCAGGCTGGTCTCGAACTCCTGGACTAAAGAAATCTGCCCGCCTTGGACTCCCAAAGGGCTGGAATTACAGGCATGAGCCACCATGCCCACCCTTGACTTTGAAACACATGTTATACATCCAGTCAGCAGTGAACTCTGAGGGAACACCAAAGATGAGGAGGATGAGAGAAGAGATACCTCCAATTAAAGGAGTTAAGATGAGAAGCTTGAATGTATATTTTAAAAAGTCACTGTAGGCTGGGCACAGTGGCTCATGCCTATAATCACAGCGCTTTGGGAGGCTGAAGTGGGTGAACCGCTTGAGCCTATAAGTTTGAGGCCAGCCTAGGCAACATGGTTAAAACTCCATCTCTACAAAAAATACAATAAATTAGCTGGTGTGGTGGTGCCTTTGACCCCAGCTACTTGGGAGGCTAAGGTGGAAGGTCAAGGCTGCAGTGAGCTGAGATTATACCACTGTACTCCAGCCTGGGCAACAGAGACCCTGTGTTTAAAAAAAAAAAAAAAAAGTCACTGTTTGGGGTTTTTCTGGATGAAACCTCTGTTTCCATTAAAAAAAGGGGGGAGGGGTTTGGAAACAGTATGTATTACTGATTCAAAATCATAACCAGATGCTTAAAGTAATTTTTATCTATTGTTTCAAAAACCAACCTCAGAATTATTAAAAGTTAGTTTTATTGGATTTTTTCTTAAGTTATGCTGGTGGTATGAAACACTTTGTTCCTAGCTGAAGCAGCAACAAACATGTCATCAGAAACATAAGCTCAGGGTAACTGGAGTCTGTCTTTTACATACATTTCAGGGAAGTTAACAAAGGTCAGTTTGAAACAGTATGACTATGGGTGACTATGTATCCATCTAATGATTTCTGCCAGTTACCAACCAGAACCCTGATGGGAAGGCCTAATAACTTCTTCAACTTACAGGAAACAACGATCTGACAACTTTCCCCCAGATGTTAAGGTTCAGTTATATGAAGGGCTCTTCCTCAATCCTGAGTACATAATGCGGGAGGAGTGCAGAGGCATGCACCATTCGAAAACCAAGGGAAAAGCATGGATACATTGCAAAGGATTCAATATTTTAGCCCAAGAGAACACTAAGCAACAAGCTCTTTCCTTCTACAGTGGCACTGTGGACTCTAGAATTAGAATTTGCTTGTTACAAGTTTTCACTGAAGTAGTTCACTGCCTTTCTGCTGAGCTCTTCTATGGAAGACGGCTGTAGGTAGCCACAGTGCCCAGCTGGAATAGCATGATCCTAAAGCACTACTTTCACAAGGAATCACAGTGGCCCACGGCCACGTGGCTCAACCAGCCAGCCCAGAAGATCTGCAGATGCAAGCAAAAGCACACTGCATTGCCCTGCGCCCGCATCTGGACCCATCTGGCCCATGGTAAGGTGCCCCACAGTGAGGTATCACACCAAGTACAAGCTGGCAGGGGCTTCAGCTTAGAAGAGTTAAGGGTGACCAGCAACCACAAGACGGTGGAATAAGTCCACCACGTCCCTGTAGGCCAATGTTCAGCAACTGAGGGAGTATGACTCCAAGCTCATCCTATTCCCCAAGAAGCCCTCAGCCCCCAAGAAGGGAGACAGGTCTGCTGAAAAACTCTCATCAGCCACCCAGCTGACAGGACCAATAATGCCCACACAGAATGCCTCCAGGAAGGAGAAAGCCGGAGTCATCCCTAAGAACTTTAAGGTATTTGCCAGTCTTCGCATGGCCTACAACAATGCCCAGCTCCTCAGCATATGGGCAAACACAGCCAAGGGAGCCACAGAACAGGATGTTGAAAAGGTAGAATGAAGCCCTGTTGGGGACTTGGAATAAATCAGCAGTAAAGCTGGGTCTCCAAAAAAAGAAAAAAGCAGTTAACCAACAATCTCTCTGGGAGTTCAGAACTCAAGTCCAAGAAGTAGAAACATGACTATCTGTTACAAGCTATTTTTTTATATCCTTATTGTAAAGAACAATATATTTACAAGTTCCCAGGGTGCCACAGAAAGGACACACAAAACCAATCACAAACCGGGCATGGTGGTTCAGAGGGAACCACAGATGAGTGAGGTGGCAGAGTATTCTAAAAGATGTTACGTGAACCCCTTCTTATAAAAAGAATTTCAAATATTAAACCATGAAGTACATAAGAGTTACTAACACCTTGACCGGATGCAGTGGCTCACGTCTGTAATCCCAGCACTTTAGGAGGCCAAGACAGAAGAACAACTTGAGACCAGGAGTTCAAGACTGGCCTGGTCAACATAGTGACACCCTATTCTATTTGAAAAAAAAAAAAAAAAAACTCACCAGCACCTATGGAACAGGCAATTCTCACACTGTGTGCCTACCCATGGCAGACAAGGGAAGAGATAGACATGCTGGGCAGGAAGCTGGGGTCAGGATCACTGCACTCTACAGGTGGCCAGCAAGAAAAGATACAGGGTAGGTAGGCTCATACACTGCGACTTTGTTAACATGAGAAATCAGGCATCACATTCACCTCCTTTCCTCTCTTCAGAATCCTACATTCATAAACACTGTTTTCTGTGTGTTTTTTTTTTGGAGACAGAGTCTCACTTTGTCACCCAGACTGGAGTGCAGAGGCACGATCTCAGCTCACTGCAACCTCCGCCTCCTGGGTTCAAGCGATTCCCCTGCCTCAGCCTCCTGAGTAGCTCGGACTACAGTGCCCACCACCATGCCTGGCTAATTTTTGTATTTTTAGTAGAGACGGGGTTTCATCATATTGGCCAGGTTGAACTCCTGACCTTGTGTTCCTCCCAACTCAGCCTTCCAAAGTGCTGGGATTACAGGCGTGAGCCACCGTGCCCAACTGATAAACACTGTTATATAAGTGTTTCCTTTTCCTTGCTTTTTCTTTGCCTGGCCCAACTCTAGGTAAGAACTTCTTCCGCCACTCACCCTAGCCTTCACCACGCCCTCACCTGTCTGACAATGCTCTGGATCAGTTTGTCCATTGTAAAGGCAATGTAGGCATGAATGGTGAACATCTCTCTCAGCGAATCTTCATACTGTGATGAGTCTATGTTGCCATCCAGCAGGCTCCGCACCATGTCCAGGAAAGCTGGGTAATAATCTTCTACATCAACATCCACTGTGGGAGAGATGGGATAGGTGAGGGATTACCCTGCTAAGAAAAGACTAGGGATCGAGTCCAGGGCAAATCCCACAGCTGGCCTAAATGGTATTTGAAAGTATGAACGCTAGGTATTTAAAATGTACTAACTCATTCCAACGTAAACGGACATGAATTCTGACAGGTGACTACAGTCACCAGCACTATCAGACAGTGACTCTGCAACTTTAACAGTGGCTTCTAATATTCTGACTGACCATGCTAGAAACTTCTTTATGGTACTGCCGGGCTATTTTAGGAGATGAAAATATCTTAGGGAAGCCAGTCCTTCAAAGAGTTGTTGGCTCCCCTGCTGAGACAAACCTGCTCTCCCAGACTGCACAAGAGAATTCCTCCCATGGGTCACTTGCTCATAAAGCTATTTCAATGAAGCATAAAGTACGGATGAGAAAAGGCAGACACAGCCATACTCCAGTACTGGGAAACCTCTTGGGAACGGAAAAATAGGAGTGCAGATTAAATCCTTTATGAATAATGAAGTCATCTGCATTTGTCAAAGTCCTTTTGTTTAAAAATGGATTCGCAACACTGTATTTCACAAATTGTATTAAATCATCTCTACTTGCTGCACATGAATCATTTCAACCACTACCTAGAATAAATCTTATCAGTTGTTATAGACATTCGGCAACTAGCAGAGGGCACAAGGAATGCTAAAGAGTTCTACTGTTAGCTTACTAATGACTCATTTATATAAAGTTCAAAAATAGACAAATCTAATTGCTAGAGTGTCAGAAATCAAGAAAGTGGCAAACGGATTGATTATCGGAGTACTGGTTTTATTTCTTTTTTTTTTTAGATGGAGTTTTTTTTTTTTTT